GCTCAGGTCCCTTCCGACCCTAGAAACTATGAAAGTATTTTGAAAGCAGAGGGAAGTGACATCCGCAGAATGTCATTACTGCTGTATTTCTGGGGCTGGAGGATGTAAACCAGGAGTAGTAGGCAGATAGCTCCAAGACCAGTGTGGAGCCAGAGTAGACAATGTGTCTTTGTAAGGTTTTATGTTACCCAAAGTTGTGGAGGGAAGACCAGGGAGAGTTGCTTGTGAGAGACATGAAGCAACCAGTAAAACAGGATGACAAAAATTGTATCACCACCACTCCCAAATCTAATTGTAAGAGGCTGAAATCTGTGCAGTTAGATATCAAGGACAATTACTTGTCCTGTAATAGTAAGATAGGACACCCCTTCTAGTCTTAGGTCTTATGCTTCAGAAGTCTCCCAGGGTGCAGTTTTTGGTTTACTCTCTACTGGGCTGTACTATATGGCCAAGTTAAGAACTAGTATATTTTCTTATATACAATGCACACCTTTTCCACAAAAAAAAACTGCTGGAAATTGCAGTGCACATTACATATGAAAAATATGGTAAGAGCAAGTTCTGCTGTTTATTGGGTAAGAAGGAAAGTAAGATCAGCAAGGATCTGCAGGGAGCAGACAAATGAGCAGGATAAGTTCCCTAGCTATGGCTACTCTATTACTTACTACAAGGAAAAATCTTTTTTTCTTCATTCTGCCTTTCAAAAACAAAGGTGTGTATTGTATTTTAGGGTTTGTTGTATGGGATAAAATACAAGAATGTGTTTGTCTGCAGTGTATAAACCACAGCATCTGGCATATCTGCATGTTTTCTGCTGTTAGGAAAAAAGTCTTCTATTTATTAGAACTGCGTGACACGCCATGGGGTACCTTTCAACAGATAACACCTGCACAACCAAATGCTTAAAGAAACTATGGGGCTTGCCTTGGAGTTACTGGTATGCAGAATTGGCTACCACATATTTACAAAAGGGGCTGGTATTCATTCAGCAACAACCTCCAGTAGAGTCAGTTACAATACCATTTGAAAGCTATCAGATAAGAAAGGAGGGAGTTCTACAAACTCTGGTGGTTTGAGACAGTTACTGACAATCTGCCTTAGAATCCAAAAAAGAGCAGATCGAAGTATTAATCAGATAGATAAGATTTAGTGTTAAAGCTCTGATGTATTACCAACTGCTGCATCTAGAAGCAAACACCTTCTTCCACTTGAGAGGGGTGATGCAATAAGTTTTTATGGATAACCCTTTGTTCAGTTAAAAACGAAATAATGGGAGAACTATTTTGATCAAATCTGCTCACAAGTGAAAAGCTAAAGACCTCATGTTTTCCACTGAACACACTGCAAAAAGTTATATCTACTTTCTAATGCTAAAATACATACACTTAGTTGGTGCCAACAGCTGATGAAATGGCTCTCCTACCAGTTCCTTCACTTTCTTCTTTAGATCCCTGCTGGTTTTCTTATAGAAAAATAAGTCTTTTTCCAGTTGCTGGACTTTACCTTCATACATTTTAAGGGTTTCTGTAATTCCTTCGCCATCTTGTTCTAAGACAACAAAGTTAATTTCAGCTTTTGCACATATTTTTGTGTATAAAAGTGAAAGGAGATAATACAAAGCTGGACAGATGACATCCTACATTTCACTAGCAGTTTGCTTCAGGAAGTTTAAAATTAATAAATTTTAACTGGTATTGCACTACATAACTAAGTCACCCATTGCAGCAGCAAATCTAATCATAGATAAATCAAATCAGACGATATTTCTTATAGTTCATTTTATATCAATAGAACATAAAGTACCAAAGACCAGAGACAGTAGGACTATGCCATGAAAATTAATTAAATCAACTATATAAAGAATATCTAGTTTATCTCTGCCAGAATCCTTCTGGGTGGTTTTGTTTACTATTAGTATGTCTGGGGTTCCAATTCAGTGATGCACTGCTATGGCTGTATTCCAAATTACTTGCACTTAATACTGTACATATGCAGTGCATATTTAAGAGGCATTTGTACTGTTTATATAATGTTTATATTACACGTGTTCAAATAATATAAATCTAGACATGCACTGCTTATATAATGTTTGTATTATATATGTTCAAATAATACAAATCTAGACATGCATACAAAGATACTTTAAAGTTGGCTTATTAGCATTCTTTAGCAGGCTACAGTAGTCGGCTGTAAGCAGGAAGCAGGGATTCTTACTTTATCTTAATAAGATGTTCTTAAAGAGATCCACTTTGACAGTATTTGCATACTCTTTTTTGTAATTTTATATTTCAAAGCGAGCTTTTCCATAATTATACTTTTTCTTTTGACCACTTTGACTATTTACAAAGTAGGACATACAATAGACAGTGGTTGCAAAAAAGAAGAAAAAATGTATTGTTCTGTGTTTGCAGCTACAAGTGCCTAGATGTCAATGGTGGTCCTTTTTTTAAATCTATTGTCACTTACATTGTAAGTTATACTTCCTGATTTCTAAGGAAACTACACTTCGCATTGTTAATCAATGTCTTTGTATTCCTGATGATTAAAGTATCCGTATATTTTTTCAGATACCCTTTGAATGCTTTTTCAGAGCACTCTTACATTTCCTGGAATAAACTGTCATCTAAATTGATGAAGAGAGAGAATTCAATGGTCATATAAAAATGTAAATGTTGGTGTAGCAGGGCACTAAGGTGCCTGCTACTGGTAGACAGTAAAATGGGCTCAGCTGCCAGTCACCAGAGCAGCACAGGTGCGGGTTGCCGGGGCAACCAGTCTGGTCAGCTGACCGGAATGGGACAGGGCCTGGCCTATTTAAACAGTGAGGCTGAGGCCAGAGTCAGTTCCCCTCTAGCAGCCAAGGAGGGTGGAGCTCAGCTGGAGCAAGCTGGGCAGGCCTAGTGGAGAAGCCTGATGGCCTGAGTGCGGTAGGATGATACTGGATGGAAGCAAGCCAGGCAGGCATAGCAGAAAAGCCTGATGGCCTGGCAAAAAGCCCCAGTGGGGCACAGGACCCAGGAAGGGAGTCCAGGGGCCAGGTAAGGCCGAGGCTGCCTGAGCCCCAATTGTGGGAAGCCCCAGTGGGGTGTAGGACCCAGAAGGGGGGTCTGGGGGCCAGGTAAGGCCGAGGCTGCCTGAGCCCCAGTTGTGGGAAAGCCCCAGTGGGGCGTAGGACCCGGAAAGCGGGTCCGAGGGCCAGGTAAGGCTGAGACTGCCTGAGCCCTATTGAGCAAGGCCCCAGGGAGGGCGAGAGGAGCGCGAGCAAGGCCCCAGGGAGGGCGAGAGGAGCGTGAGCAAGGCCCCAGGGAGGGCGTCTAGGAATACGAAGCCCCGGAGAGGGCAAGCGTATAGAGAGAAGCCCAGGAGAGGGCCAGGGCACGGAGAAGGGCCCTGGTGTGGGCCACTAGGTGGAGACAGGCCCCAGTGAGGGCGACGCGAGCGCAGGAGACAGGCCCCAGTGCAGGCGACAGTAGGACTTACGGGTAGCCCCTAACGCTAGGGTGCACCGGGGCAACTGGACATCTAGGCACTGTGTCAAAGCAAAATAGAAAAGGCAGCCTCCCTTAAACATTTAAACCATCAAAGATGTGGCGGGCGAGATTGGTGAGGGTGCATTGACACCGGCTTGACACAGTAGCCAGGGGGCACTAGGGGAGGTCACGGCACCCTAGGCTCCGTCCTGCCACAGTTGGTCTTAAAAAAAAAAACTTGTATATTAAGAAGATTCCCTTCTCTTTCAAAAGACAGTCTTCCAAAATGTCAGCTATGTCCCGAGAACAGAAGGTATAGTACATGATACTTACTAGGAGAAGTAAAGCATCCTTAAAGCATTGGACCCTAAACTCTTCTCCCATAGTTTATAGACTTTGGATCAAGCCCTGTTCTTTTTATTAAAAAAAAAAAACTAGTTCCATGCAAATGGACACTGATTCTGGGGGTACAATATAATAACGAGGTCTGAGTTTAAGGTGCTAAGGTACTCACAAATAAGGGTAGTGCTGGTGCCCAGCACCACCTACAAAAAAAAATCCCATAAAATTCTACAACAAGGTAAGTACATCTAAAGGGTCTCAAGTTAGAGGTTAGTCAGTATCTCAGGTCAGTTAGCACCTACCTCTGACAATCAACTTTAATGGAACTGGCTATTTTTATAATAAAACAAGCAGGACTCAGTCCTTACATTTTCATTAACAGCAGCAAATTCTTCCACATTTTAAAAAGGTTATTACTTAATCTGTTGTGTCTCATATTAAACTTTAACATTTAATGTTCTTTTACAAAGGACATGCATTCTATTAGAGAGTAGAATTAATAAAATTGCACAGCAAACTATGGCTACTCAAACATATGTATCAAGCATGAAGTTTTAGCTAAAAGACAATACTTTTTTTCAGTGTAGCAATACAACTTCCTCCAAAAGAAGCAAATACCTTTGAAATGATGCAATACTAACTGCATCTTTTGTTCGTGTTCTCTCTGCTGTAGGGTGAGTCGCCTATCACACTGCAGCTTTAGGCGTTCAAGTACAGATTCTAGTTCACGGATTATGTTATCTTGTTCTGTGACCTTCATCTCCAGCTCTTCAGTCTGCAGCTGTAACTTACGTTCAGCCTCACGTAACCCAACAACCTAATAAAAATGTTAGACTCTTAAAAACCATCCCTAGACATGGAAACAGATTCGAATAATGATCTGATACTGTTTTGAATAAAAGATGATCTTGTATATTTTATTTTAATGCCTGACTGGAAACAAATAGATTAATGAAAACAGTATTTATATACCCACAAAAAATGTCTTTATAAGCCACAAGTATTTTGGAAACAAAATGGCCTAGATTGTACATCCATACCAAAAAGTGAAAGTAACAATGCACTAGAATGCAGAATTTCGTTTTGGAAACTAAGTTTTCATATTTTGCAAAATATATCCATATAACCTTAATAATAAGAATACAATAAATGTTGGTACAATGTTGTCTTCCTGCTCTTATTAAAACCTGTAATAAAAGAGGTAGGTACTGCTTTTTTATCTCAGGTTTACGCTAAAAGTTAAGTGAGAACTTAAAAATGTTAACTTAGAACTTAAAAGGTGTTAACTGTCTGCATTATAAGCCTTCCACCAGCAGACAGTCGCTGCCACCAGAGTGCATAGACACCAGTGCAGATTGTGGCAGCCTCACCCAGCTCTGCAGTAGCAGATCTGCCAGCAGGGTACACAAGGTATCTACACAGGCCTCAGATGTAAAAAGGACTGCAGCAGCTGGCAAAGAACAGGCACTTCTATGCACACTCTCTGGCAGCTTCCCAATGGAAGCCTGCTGTCACTTACTGTTCCGTTGGCCACCAGGAAACAGTGTTTGTATATCCACTTACAGTTTTAGCTGCAGAACATGAGCTCTGCGGGCAAAACTATGTAGTAACACCAGGCCACAGGTACCAGTTTTAGTGCTAGTAATTTTAATATAAACCATCAGCTAGAGCTAGCCTCTCCCACTCAACTCAAGCCAGAAGAGTTCTTCAAAAAAATGGAAAACGCTTTCTTTTGATCTACCCTTAGCACATACAGTCTTAAGAAATAGCTAGTAGCAATGACAACAAGCTAGAGTCATAGGCTACATACATTATACCCATTCATATATGCCTTAGCCAAAAGACTTGCTTAATTGCCAGATTCCAGATTAAAACCCAGCAACTGCTCAAAATAAAAAATAACATTTGATCCCAACACAGCATGATGCTTATCCAGGAGTCAAAAAGTCTGTCTGCAGCCAGATTTTACTATCATACTAAAGATTTGTAAATATCCAAAATGTCATTGCACTTGCCATTTCCTAGCATTGTTCATTCATCTACTGATCATCTCCAGCACCTAGGATTAGCACTTAACAGTAACAACCCCAAATGATTATAACATTTCAATGTGCTGGTAAATCCTCAGCTGAGGAAAGCAGAGACAAGATGTAGTGAAGTTGCCACTGCTCAAAACCAAGCAAAGAACTGAAGTGAAAAAAAAAAGATCAGAAGAAATGAGCTGCCCATTTGTCCTGCTATTGAGGGCAAAACCTTTGGTGGCTGAAACTAAAGGCGGGGTTGCAGAATCATGAGACTGACATTAAGGAAGGGGAGAGACAGGGGAGTAGGAGTTGAAAGGGATGGAAAGGAAAGTGGGGGGAAATTATATTTTATAGAGGCAGTGAATTGGGGATGAGAAGTAAGGTTAGGTTAGGGAGCTCTCTCTCCTAGATTAAAAGCAGCTGAGCAGGAATGAATAGGATGGGATGGATTATTCTGTATTTTGGGGAGAATTTGTCTAGGTATACTATCTTATTTTAATATTTTATTCTGCTTTTAGAAGCTTGTTCTCTTCTATTGTAAACCACCCTGAGCCTTTTTTGGGAAGGGCAGCATATAAATCAAATAAAAAGCCATAATCACATTTATCTGTTTAAAAAGAACAATACTGTTGTTCTTTGGGGTGCAGAAAAGAATAAGGGACACAGGTAAGTAGATTCAAAGACCACTGATACCAATTAGCATTATCAGAAGATTGTAAAATCCTTTCACTATTATTTGTTAAAGTTTTGTATTTCTCCTTAGCTGGAAAACAATACCTATATCAGATACTATACTTGATCTGAGCCTTCAAGAGAATCTTCACCTCCTTAGCTAAAACCAAACACTGTTAGGTTGGTGACATCTCAAATGAAATAGACAAACCTGACCTATGAATAGCCTATTTACAGCAGTGAATAAAGATTGCATGATATTCAATGCAATACAGGAGAGTTTTGCTCCTGAGCAGTCTGTATTGAAAAGACCGATTCAGTTCATACCCCTCCCCTTGTTTTGGGAAGAACCATGAGGCTCTGAAAAATTTGGAGGACTTTGTTCTATTACCATTGAACAGTAAGATCCAATGCTATGTTATTCATCAGCTACCACAAACCTTGTTGAAGTACTTGAAAAGGATAGCTCTGAGATCAACAGCAGACAGAGAAATTAGTTTTCCCATTACATTGGCCTCACTCTGGGAAAGAATCTGAGATGAAGTTCTGAGCAAGTGTTGGCGATTCTGAATACTTTCATTCTTATAGTCAATAGCAGCCTCCAAGGCTTCAATCCCTTCTTCCAGTTGGAAAAGGACATGTTCTTCCTAAAATAAAAGCAGATATCAGATTTTTATTTAAGAGATATGCAAAAAAACAACTGTACACTCAATGTAAATTGATTTTATTCTATAGAGTGGGAGACTGACCCAAGAGAAACACATGCAATGTACTAGATACTGGCCACGTCTACACGAGATACTTACTGTGCAGTAGCTTGTTACTACTGTGCAGGAGCATCACTGGGCATGAATCATGATGTTATGCTACTGCGCAGTAGTAACGAGCTACTGAGCAGTAAGTGTCACTAGGCAACCAACCGGGACGCTACTGCACAGTAATGCCAGTTACCGCGCAGGCATTTAGTACTTGATTATGCAAGTAGTAAATGCCAGGGCAGTAACAACTGTGTGGTCACTGTCTTGTGTAGACATAGCCACTGAGGAAAAATAATAGTCCCAAGTTGAAGTATTTCTCTTTTTCAGTAAGTTTTTAAGTTTCCCACTTGGTAGAGGGTCAACAAAAAGTCTGCATGCAGTACATAGGACCTATTTCACTTAAACTTAACATAATTATACTGATCAGTCCTTAGCAATATACCTTCTTTGCATAATGCATCTCAGTTCCTATGACAGATACCAGCTCCTCATCATGGAGGTGATGTATTTTGGGTTCTGATGAGAAGACATCAGAATCTTGCAATGAGTGTCTCTGGCTGACCAATTCTAAGAAAAATTTCCCTGGAAACTACTAGTCAACTCTAAGGCCTTATATGTATAAGAAAATTATGCTGATTTGACACAAGGTGTTATCTGAGAGATTTAACTAACGCAAGGGGATGTGTCTTTACAGGTGTGCACATGCAGTTTCCAATGCCTCAAAGCAGTTTGAGCTGCTGCAAACTGCATGTGACACACATGCAAGTGTTTGCCGTGCTGCTAATTTACAGTGTGGTAGGTTTTTTTGACACCAGAAAATCCTGGTGTCAAAAAAACTGGCAATGAAAAAAGCAGTGTGTGCCTTCAGAAAGGGAGCCTGGCTGGCCAGAGTCATACTGTGGCTGTTGGCCAGGCTCCAAGCAGCCAGCTCAGTGCTACTGCTGCCCCAGGAGGCCCAGGACCCCAGGTGAGGCTGCTGGGTTCAGCACAGGTCCTGGCTTCAGCCTTCCCTAGCCCACCCAGGTCACTTTGCCAAGCATCGGAGCATGTGTACAAGAGCGTGCCCGAGGACAAATAGCAGCAGCATATATTTGTTTGCTTAATTTTAGATTTCTGTAACTTAATCCAAAATTATTTTAGTGTAAATACTAACTTTGTATCTGATTCTTAATTTGGAACTCAGGGAAATTAAGACATTTTGGCAGGACTGATTTGGAAAGAGCAGCAGTATATTGCCAAGTCTGCTATTTGTCCCATGAAAAATGCAGACCCCAGCACATGCACATTCATGGGGATGCATAGGGTTTGCACAGGTTTGACACACTTATTCAATTTTAAAAGGCAGAATCTTGATCTCCACCTAGAAAGAAGAAATACTGTGGGTTCAAGGAAGAAAAACAATAAGGCCATAGATAACAGACACCAGTGGGACCAGATCATCTTATAACCTGAACTTTTTTACCTGGAAAATGAGGCTACTATTGTAGTACTTTATTTGAATGTTGCTGTAACAATGACAAAATTCTCAATTTTGGTTTATATACTGTTGCATAATGGCTGTATTTATTTTACTGTTTACTTACATCAGCTGACAACACTCTACCATCCTTAAGTTTCTCATCTACGCTATTTCTCCTTCTGAGCAACTGATCCCTTTCCTTCTGGAGAACTTGAATTTCTTCCAAGATTTCTCTCTTGTCTTCAGTGGTGACATTCTGAAGCTGCACACTTTTATCACATAGTTTCTGGTCCAGTACACTCAAGCGCGCAGATAATTTCAAGCTATCTGTGTTTAAAGCCTAAAAAACACCAAAACCCCCCCAAACAACTTCCTCATTCATCTAAAACACAAATACTCTTCACTAAATTATTAATTAGCTAAAATGTACATAGCTTAAAACTACAATTCCTTCAGAGCAGGAATTCTTTTCTGTGTCTACATCATTCCAAGCACAATGGCACTCCAATCCCATTGGATGGGACACCTTATCTACTAATTATCTAATTTAAATAAAATGAGTGAATAAACACTCAAATCTCAGACATAACATTAAATGAAGAGCTAGTCATAACCAGTTATGGTGACACTTGGTATAGATAGTTTCATAGTTTCATAGATTTAGGGTCGGAAGGGACCTAGTAGATCTTCTAGCCCGACCCCCCGCCAGGTGAAGAAATCTATTTTTAACCTTCCATTCATTGTCATTATAAATAAATCCCAAATTATTTTCTCCTTGCTCTATAATTTGCAAAGGGATCAGCCAAGTTTTAGGTAAATATTTAATCATCTGCAGATATTGTAGCAGGTCTAAGATTCTTCAGGTAGGCTGCCACTCCCTGGTGGTCAACCCCAGTCCGCTTCCTTCTGTGGGAACCTAACAACCTTTCTTGTCATGCCTTGGAAGGTGGTACTAAGATAACCAAGTCATTATTTTAATTGCCAGCAGCTCTCATGGAGTTCTTAGACCCTCCAGCAGTTCCTTGGAGTCCTTGGGCCTTTCAAAAGCACCCCCGCAGCATTGCACCCTTTCAGAAGGTTCTCAGGAGTCTCCCCAACACCACTACAGATTCTCCCTGCCTCACTGAGTCCCCATGCCACAGTCCACTGCACTTCTCTCAGGAGTACCTTCTCCCTTTGTAGCCTAAACCAAACTGCCCTCAGCTCCAGGAGTCTGGCTTATACGGTAGCTAAGTTCCGCCCCTTTCAGTTAACATGAAAAACATAGTTTCCCTTAAAGGCATCACTACCTCTTCACTATATCTCCAGTAGCAAGGCAGGGGCCCCTGTTACAGTCCATAAGACATTTTGTCTCTAAAACACAAAGCATGTCTTTAGCAAAGGTGAATGATGTCATTATCATACATTATTCCCATTTTAAAGACAGGGAAATGGATGTGGAGAAACTGAGACAGAGATAAACTGATTCAGCCAACATTGCATAATGAAGCAATGTTAGCATCAGTCATGGAAGACAGCTTGCCTGAACCCCCTGCCACAGCTTCCCTTTGTAATTCACTTCTCACCTGGGCAATCATTGTTATCATAACAGATTATAATAGATAAATCATTGATCACCTGGCTAGATCTTAGTTTCTTGATTTCCAAGTGACTCTTCTCTTGAAATAATTCTTCTTTCTTGGTTATGATAGCTTCTCTTTTCTTTAAATCTTCTTCCAGTTGTGCTAACTCTTGCTTTTGATTCAAAACTTTCTCTAGTTCTTCATCCAACCATTTCTTTTGTTCTTCCAGTTCCTACAGTAAACATAAGGAAATATAAATAATAAGACTTGTAAGCATCTCTTTGCTGCAGACATTTTCCACCTACAGTATATACTTATCAAGAAAAATACATTTTAGCTTAATTTCAGATTTCTGTAACTTAATCCAAAATTAATTTGGTGTAAATAGTAACTGTGTAGCTGATTCTTGATTTTGAACTCAGGAAACATTAAGAAATTTTGGCAGGGCTGATTTGGGAAATGCAGCAGTATATTGCCAAGTTTGCTATTTTCTGCCAAGCCTCCCATTTTTGATAGAACAGTCCTATTTTAAATACCTGTTCTACATGGCTTGTCAGTGCATTCAAATTAACACTTTTGTTCATTCTGTCAAGCGAACACTCAGTGAAACACTACTTTCATCCTGAGACTGTCTGTGAAAAGGTTAATGTAAGTGTCCCCTCCTGCTTGCCGGCAAAGAGAAGGAAGCTGGCAGTCATCTGAAGCAGTATCTTGATGCTTCTATTCTTCCATGTTTGTATTTTGGCAAAAAAAAATCAGCTTTCCATCTTAAATGCACCACAATTTTGGAGGGCTGACTTTTGGGAAAAAAGGTGATTCTGGTATGCAAGTAAATATGGTATAAGGCAAGAAACATCCCAGTCCTGATCAGTCATAAAACACTGCGGAGTACAATCCCCATCAGATGAATAAAAGGCTTGCTCCTTCACTGTAGTGGGAAAGGTTGTCTTGCTTGTATTGTAGCTACAGTAGCAGAATTTTTTTTTTAAACACACGATGTATTACTGCAGGCATAGAATGAAACTGATCAATCTTCCATTCAAAAGCCTTCAGCAGCTTCTCAGCAGCAGCAATCTTCAGTTTAAGTTCAGAGAAGAAAATGGCAAATGAAGTGTTGACTCAATATTCAAATGGAGGTGGAAGCAAGAGATAAATGATGAATTTGATAAAGATGACAAATAGGTAGATAAAGAAGTTGAAACTAGTAAAGGAAAATGTTTGAAGAGATGGTCTGCTGCTACCTAGCATAACACTTAAAATGACATTTTTCTATTACACTTTTTGTATGTGTTTGTTTCATGTCTGTTTAATTACATTTTTTCTTTTGTGGCATTCTCTGCTAGTCAGGGAAGAGAATCTGTCTCCAAATTCCTCAAGACTAATCAGGTGCTACAGTAGAAGAGTCTTCCTTGCTCGGACCAATACATTTGGAATAGAATAGCTACCTGAAGTTGCTGTGGAGTGCCTGTGGAATTCTTTTTAAATGCAGCAATCTCTTCATTTTTGAGTTTGAGAATCTTCTGCTGTTGTTCCATCTTTAGCTGAAGTTCCTGTAAATAAGAATAGAGCACTTGTTCAGTCTTTTGTTGCCATATCTACTGTTATTTGTCAGAGAGTGCCTGTAGGAATATCACATTTTAATTTAATCAATGACATTGTATTTTAATGATAGAGAGTAAAAAAGCCTGGAGAGAAAGATGTAAATTGTAACAGTAAAATTGAAGGGAAAATATTACACACATACCCCCCTCTTTAGTTTGTCCGTCTTGAAACCCATTCCTTGTATTTCTCAGACATCTTACAGCCATTTATCATGGCCTATGAGAAAGTAAAAAGAGGCAAAATCTTATCCAACAGAAAAATTAAATTACTTGCTTTAATTTGTTGCTGGTCTCGTTGAATCTCTGCCTCTAGAAGTT